CTGGGAAAAGAAACCAAAGGGACTACGACCGCTTCCTCCTTCACACTCCTCTCCCTTAACCTGCTTATTCCAGCACGGTCATCCTCCACAGACCCGTCTGGATGGGCTATGTGGCTGGAGAGGGATTTTGTTGGTAGAGAGGGAGCACTCGGGATTGTTTTCAGGCGCTTCTCTCAGTTCCCCTTCGATGCCGAGTGCTCGGCGCAGGGCAGGTCTCTCTTTCACCGCCGCCCGTCGGTGATCACAGGGGGTTTCAGGGAGAATAAAATGCAGAGGCAGCAAAGGGATCCGAATGTTGCTTCTCCATTTTATTCTCTCTGCAGACAGGCTGGATCCAGCGACATCACAGGTTGTCATTAACCTGCGCGGCTGAGCGGGAGAAACGAAGGGAGCAACGGGGAGGGGAAAAAAAACATAAGCCAGAAGACTTTGAAACCTTCACCTTCTCGATGATTTTAGGTCGGCCCTGAGACTGCGGGGCTGGGATAGGAGTGGGACTGGCTTGTTCCCAGCCACATGTCTCTCACATCGCCCTGACCCTAAGAGCAGATCTCCTGTCGCGGCGACTCAAGCAGCGTTGACAAGCCGGTACCTTACGGGCTCCCATCCTACAGCTGTTTCTCGCTCGTTATCTCCTCCCTCGGCCCTCAGGGTGGAGGTTCAACCTTCAGCTCCCTTTCCCCCATTTCCCTGTGCCTCTTTTTTAACTTTCAGAAAACACTGACACTTTCTACGTTACTTTTGGCCCGCCACACAGTTTCGGTGACCTTCAAAACTCAGCTCAGAGCAGAACGAGGTTTTGGCCGCATTTTCCGGTGTTGCCTGACCCAAAGCTTCAGGAATGTGATAAGAAAGTTGAGTTCTGAACCGAGCTGCCGATAGTGAGGTCTCTTTAATTAGGGCGTTATCAGAACCAGTCCTGATTAAAATGTGCTGAAAATAATTGAAAGTTGTACATCTGTTGAAGAACGGGGCCCGCTGGAGGCATCCAGTTGTTGGAGGAGCCCAGCTGGATGAAAGGCAAAGGAGAAGAAGAAAACTGGGCAGAGATTTCAAAGCCTTAGTTTCCTAACCCCCACCCCATCCCAGACTTGGCAGAAATGTCATCGCAGAGCCAAGGTAGCGTCTTTCCCACGGTCGGAGGAACCGTCTAAAAAAAAAAAAAAAAAAAAAAAAGAGGAGTTCAACCTTGAGGAAAGCCAAAGCAAGAACATTTTATCCACCCACAAAAAGAAAAAAAAAATAATAAATAAAAAAAAGCAAACACCCTTGCCGAATTCCTCCTTGTCGAAGTAGGAGCACCCTCTCTGCGTGCCGCCGAAAATAATTGTGGCTAAGCCGCAGTGCTGCACGTGTGGGGAGGGAAATCCGAGCCGGGGGGATCCCCCAAGGCCCGCATCGAGGCAACTCGGCCTGGCAGAGCCCGGCAAGGAGCCGGACCACAGTCCCTGTTCCCAGCCACGGAGCGTTCCCCAGGCTCCTGCGGGGCCTCGGTGCCCAGGGCCGGGGAGGTGCAGAGGTGTCAGCCCCTCTGCCCCGGCTCTCCGGGCACGCACAGGTGCGGGGGTGTGCGGGGCTGATGGTGCCGCGGGCCAAGCACCGCCCGCAGGGCGCCGAGCCCGAGTAAAGCCCAGTGTAGTTTAACCCAGCTTTGGTGGGTTAAAGGCTCCGTTTCTCCTCGGGGAGGTTAAACCCGGGCGATGGTGGTTAAGCAGGATGGCGCAGGGTCGCAGCTGTTTTGTCCCTGGCTAACGCAGGGCCGAATTTATTTCCCTCACCCTTCCCTCCATCTTCTCGTGGCTATTTCGGCCCAGCGATTACAAATCCTCTCCGATGTCTAAAATCCTTTCAGATATCTTTTAAAACTCCCCGGCAGAGCTCTTGTCCCGGCGGGCTCTGTGCCGCTCCCCTCCCATCCCGCAGCCGGAGCCTGGGACCCCGCGGGACATGGAGCTGCTCCGGGACCTCGGCGAGGCCGCGCCTCTCCCCAGCTCCAGGGATGCTGCCAAGCCGGGACCGGCAGCAGGGCTCTGCGGTTTCCGACGTTGGATCCCGGCGCCGGGCGGACCCCGGGGGCAGGGGCAGGGGGTCGAGTGCAGCAGAGCGGTGGCATCGCGACTGCGACCCGGCACTGGGGGGGGGGGGGGGGGCCCGTGTGCGGCCGCGCTGCCGAACAACCCCTTCCCCTCCACCGCCACTGCCTCTCCTCGCTACAAACATCGCTCCGGAGCGCCTCAGCGGCCAGCATCGAGCGCGTCCGTCCGGCCTCGGCCTCCGCTCTGCCCCGTGCCCTGCCGCCAGCGAGCGCGGAAAGCCCGAACCGGGGATGGTCAGCCCCAGCCGTGGGTACGCGGTTGACCCCGCGGCGCGCAGCAAGCCCGAGCTGCGAGCTGCCAAAAGCAGCGAGACGCCGGCGACTCATCCCGCTCTGGTCGAGCCACTCACACCCTCCCTGTCCCCTGTCCCCCGGGTTTCGAGGCCACCACAGCCTCACTCCCCTCGGTCAGACTCTCCCGGCGCCTCGCCCGGGGCCGGGGAGTGCAGGGCAACTCACGACATCCCGCGGCTCCGGGGCCAGCTGAAGGAGAGGGAACAGGACCCGAAAAGTCTCGGGCTAGCTCCCCTCAGGCTGTCTGTCCCCTTTTCCCTTCTTTCTCGCGTTTGCACCCACAGATATTTATACTGCAGCCACTAGAAGAAAAACGATTAGGTGCTGATCCCGGTGCCACAGGCAGATGACCTGTTCAGCCCACGGGAGTTTCTCAGGGCGGCGCAAACACCGGGGACCGCAGAGAGCTACCGCGCAGCCCGTCCTGGAGATGCTGACAAGAAACGACGAGGTGGCCCTATTTGTGCACTCCGGCCCGGGGGCTTTCAGCCCTCCCGAGGTCAATTCGACAAGGGGCTTGAAAACACTAACGTGCGGACGGCGCTTTTCGGATTCAGGAGGAGGTTTGGAGGTACACCCCCCCCACACACACACAGCATCACCCCCAAGATATGTAGAGGGAATTGTCTCGGGCCACCGGCCCCACCTCCATTCCAGGACTTGCGCTGTCTCCGGCCCGAACAAACCTTTGCAAAGGAGAGAGGCTGCTCCAACCCGGCCAGGGGGCCTGGGGGCTCCAGCCGCCTGGCAGAGCCATCCACTGCCCCACGGGAGGGGTGGGGGGGGGAGCAAATCGTGGCTCCTAAAGCTCCCCGGAGCGACGTGGCTGCCGCACAGGGAGGGAAGGGAGGCAGGGGGAGGCTGGCTCGCCTGACCCGGCTCGGCTGCCGCGGAGACTGAGCTTGCTGTTTACATCAGGCGCGGCCCGGCCCGGCCCGGCTGAGCGGGAGCCTCCGGGGGCCGCCCCCCGAGCCCGGGGCGCCCGGCAGCGCGGCCCTTACCCTGGTTGCGGATCGCTTGCTGGCTCTCCAAGCAGTTGGGCAGGTAGGGCCCGTTGGGGAACATCCGAGCCTGGCCCGAGGGCGGCTGGCTGGGCGGCGGGGCGCCGAAGGGCCCGTAGCGGCAGGCGCCGGCCGTGCCCGTGAACTGGCCGGAGAAGTGGACGGTGAAGGCGCTCAGGTATTGCTCCTCGTGCGGGTCCGACCCGTTCCAGCTCGGCTCCTGCTTGATGAAGGAGTGCGGCCCCAGCGAGCCGTAGGAGGCCCCCGGGGGGAAGTCCAGGACGGGCGCCCACTGCGCCGCGCTGCTCACCGGCATGGTGCAGCTGCTGTTGCCCGGCAGGGAGGGCACGGAGGGCAGCAGCGCGTTGAGGTCTCGGACGTCGGAGCCCATCTGCTCGCAGACCTTCTGCCTGCCGCCGGGCAGCCAGTCTCCCCCCGGGCCGCACTTGTTCCAGGACACCTGGCCCCTGCCCGCCAAGCCGGAGGCCGGCTCCGGCTGCAGGCACCAGGCCGAAGAGCTCAGCCCTTTGGGGGAAGTTTGCTCCGCGACGCAGCTCCCCGGGTCCAGCCCTGCGGGAGCCGGCAGCAGCGACAGGGAAAGGTTGTTCTCCAGGATCGCCTCCGGGGTTGCACCCGCTCGCAGCGCAGGGCAGGGTGGGGTGTGCCCGTGTCTGTGTGTCCGCGTGTGTGGCGCGTCTGTCTGCGCGTGTGTCCGCCTGTCCGTGCTAGGGGGGCACAGCCGCCTCGCACGCCTCACCTCGGATGCCTGCTCACCCTCAACTTTGCAAAGCTCAAATAGAGGCGCTTGCAGGGGAGGAGGAGTCAGCACGGCGATCCTCCATTCACACAACCTCCGCCGAGGGGCTGCCCACAGCCCGCTCTGCTGAACCCAGCCGGACAGACACGCGGGGGGGAGGGGGGAGACGAGGAGAGCCGGGGATGGAGGGGGAGAGGTGACTGTGGGAGAATATATCTCCCCTACGCATCACTCCCACCCTTCTTCTGGTGCAAGCGCCACTAAATCTCACCCTAACGTCCCTTCGCTTTGGGAGAGACTTGCAAGATTGTTAGAAGGATCCAGGTGGCCAGTAAGTACGTGCTGGATGACTTCCCCCGCCAGCTCCGTGCATGTCCGTGGGGACTCCGGAGGGCAGTGGGGTCGCAGGCCCCGGGGACCGCCCGGGGAAGCCTCCGCCCTTGCGGGAGCCAGGGGAAGTGACACAGCCCGTTGCGGGCGGACCCCGTTCCTGCGAGGGGAAAGTGTCTTTCCAGGTGCCTCTCTCCCGCTACGGGAGGAACCTGCGTCTCCACGAGCTCCTGCGGGGTCCGGGCTGCCTGCCCGTGGTCCCGCCCCGCACACCGGGTGTTCCCTGTCCCTGGAGGCGCAGGGCCGGCCGTGCCATGGCAGCGAGGGCTCCGCCGGCGAGGGGAGGGGTGGGCGCCCTTTGCAAGGGGACCGGGATCGGCGTGTGCCCAGTCCTGTCCCTGACCCTCCGACCTATCTGTACGTGAGAGGGAAGGAAGGGCTGGGCAGGCGGGGGAGGATGGCAGCGCTGTGAGCAACCTGTTTTTGAGAGATTCACCTGGCACTGCTCCTGGGAAGCCCCGGAGTCTCTCTTTCCTCCCCAGTCTCCTGGACAGCAGCTCCTCAGCGCGCATTCCTGGGCAGCGGCGGCGGCGGGAGGGCCCCCGAGGGCACCTTACACGTTATCCCCGGACGGTCCTTCCTCCCAGGAGACACGGCGGGTTTCGGGCCGACCCTGGCAGCGAGGGGTGCCACGATTCTGGCGGTGCGGGAGCCCACCTAGACCGACTGTCCCGGCAGGAAGCCCCCGGGAAGGGCGGCAGAGCCTGCCGGGACCCGGGGCAAAGGCGAGCCCGCAGCCCCTCTCGCCCCCGCGGGACACGCTCTCACTAAAGGCAAGAAGAGGGATCCTGCCGCCTTCCTTTGGAACTACTAATTAAAAATCAGCCGGGGTGGGGGATGTTGCTTCTACGAGCACACGTGGGACAGCTCCCGAGGGCTGGCCCCGGCGCAGGGCACTCGCCAAGTACCAGACCCGCCGCTCTGTCCCTTGCGCATCGTCCTCGGCCGCTTTTAAACCGCGGCACCGCAGATGCCTCCGGGGTCTTTTCCCCCCGCAGAGCCGCGTCCTCCCCGCACCTCACCCCCCTCTGCAGCGAAAGCAGTGACAGCGACGCCGTGAACGCTTACCTGCCGCAGGACAGACCGACCCTCTTGTCTTCCCGGTGATAACACTTTCGGTGTTTCCTTCCCGCCGCGGCACCAAAGGTTACCGCCAGCATCGCCAATTTTGAAGCGATGTTTTAAGATTCAAAGGGTAAATTCTAGAGCAAAATAAATCAAAATAGGTCGTTATTGGTGTAGCCAAGTATAATTTCATATTCTCTTAAAACTAATTAACCGTAACAGTCGGATTTTGTTATTAGTGAAATTATTTTTTCACAAACTATCTGCAGATAATTTCCCTTAAAAATCTCTCTTTTGATGCATAAATCTACTTATTACAGAAATCTACCTGTAACGTAAGTGCGAAAGATTCATTGACTATCTCTGCCGATAGTAAATATCCCCTAAGCTTAGAGGATCTGCCGCTTCCTGAGAGTCTTCAGCAAACTAAAGCACCCCCGGATGGCGCTTGTGAAGGCAGCCCATGCCCGTGCGGGGGGACTGCGCTACTCTCGCTGACACTGCCGGCCTCGGCGCTTGCTCCCGCTCTGCCTCCCGCTCTGGCCGCACCGGGGCTCCCGCACACCGCGCTCGCCCCCTGCCCGGTACCCGCAGGGGCCTTGCGGGGCTGCGGGAAGGTGCGGGTGCGGGAAGGGGGCTACTGCTGGGTTTGCTCGTTTCGGTGGCGCACGGAGACAGGAGGTTGGTTGGACTCGATAGCTTAAAGGTCTTTTACAGCCTAAACGATTCTAGGTTCGATTCTATGACCTTCGGCTCTACGATGGACAACGCACACACAGAAATAGAAGTCTTAGGCCAGCGTAAGCAGAGTATTTAATTTCCCACGAAAACTAGACCTCTCTTGGTTAAAACAGAAAAAGTCTTTCCCGCAGTGGGCTGTTTTTCGAACTAGTGTGGGTTTTTTCTCTTTTCTTGAAATAAACTAACTTGATAAATCTTCCTGAAAGGAAAAAAAAATGTTTTCTTGATCGCTTAGGTCTGCCGTTATTCCACCTGGGAGGAAGAACTGCCAAAGCCTTTCCGAATCTTCGCCTCTCTCGCATATCCCAGAGGTGAAACAAGACAACCCCTTGTCCATCAGCGCATCCTCCCTCCCCGCGGCTGCCAGCAGCCCCAGCGAGGATGGGGAAAGCAGCGCTCGGCCGGGGGATTCCTGGGCTGCCAGGTCAGCTCAGCTCAGCCCTGCCCCGGCACCCAGGGCTGCTCAGCCGCGCGGGGAAAGGAGAGAGCCCGGCAGGCGCGTCCCGGGATGTCCTGGGAGAAACCCTCAGCGGTGGAGCCTGAGGAGGGGGAGGAAAGGCCGGACCGTTCTACCCTGGGACGGGCTGGGGACTTTTGGGAAACGGCCAGCGCCACTTCCCGCAGACGTTCCGTTCTAGCCAGCACCAGGGAGAGTGAAAAATCTCCTCTAGCCCAGGTCGGGAGCACTGGCGGCAGGTGCCCTCGGGGGCGCCCCGGCAGCCGAGAGGAGCTGCTCCCCCAGTGCAGGGGACGCTCGCCTGCCTGTTCCCCAGAGATCCCGACCCCGATTCCAATCACATGCGGCGTAAATCTCTCCAAGTCCCGCACACCGGGAAAACCCAGTTGGAAGCAATGGCCGGGGAGAGGTGGCAGTTCTGGGACAGCATCTCCTTTGTCCGTGTCCAGACCCAGGCGGCCCGGAACGTTTTGCCCTCTTTCCTCCAAACACGGCCCTATCCAAATCTGTGACAGGCAGCAATTAGGCTTCATTGTGCTGCCCGTTGTTCCATAGCTATGGTAATTCCTAATAATGCTTAATCTTCGACTGTGCTCGAAGGCGTACTCGACAAGATTAAACAACAGATATTTACCGGAGTAGGAGTATTCTATTGAGAGTCCCACTTGATCCTGGGAAAAACAGGATCGGGAACTTGCTCCAACCTGAGCAGCGCTGAAGCACCTCCCCAGCCGATGTTTTCCCGTTCCGCTTCCCTCCGCCATACTAACCAATTATGGGATCGGTAATTCTTACCACACTTTTACTAAACTCATAAATGATCCCCGCGCGGCTCGGGGGTGGGGGAGACTGACTTAAACAGAGATAAATCCCCAGCCCCTCCACGCCTGCTCACGCCGCTCCCAGCACGCTGGGGGGATCTGTCTGCTTTCACTCAGGGAGCTGATCAGAGTTTGATTATTTAAGCGCCAAGAGCAGCAGAAACAAAGCTGCGAAGCATCTCCAGGAGCGCAGGGCGCGGAGGGGCAGGAACTCATCACCGCGGGCCCGATCCCGCATTCCTCACTGCCGAGCACTGCGGGAGCCGGGATCCGCGGGCAAGGCGGGACCGGCCTTCCCCGTCCGGGCTGACGGGGGCACTGGAACGCTTTCGAGCTGGATAGAGGACATTTTGTTCATCCGGTGAGGGAAATGAGTTTTGGGGTTTTTTGTTTTGTTTTGATGCACAAAGAAGGGAAGATGCGCGACCTCTCCCCGTCCCTCTGCTGACAGGAGCGGGGCACAGGCGGGTCCCTCCGAGGCGGGACCACGGCCCAGCGCGGGGCGGGGCGGGGGGGCAGCGGCGGGGATGGGGAACAGCCCGAGGGGTGCTGAGCATCTCCCTTCGCCCCGGCGAGGGCCGCCCGCCCCTCCAGCGCCGAGCCCGCCGTGCAGCGGCGGCGGGCCGGGCTCGGGCCATTGCCGTCCCGTAAATCTTGGGAGCGCTGGAACTAATTACGGAGAGGATATGTCTCAATTTGTTCCGCATTAGTGCCGCGCCGGGACGCAGGCACCGAGCACGGGAAATTGATGGGCCCGGCCCGGCCCGGCCCCGCCGGGACCGCGGCCCTGACCCCGCGTTCAACCCGCGGGGAGGCCCCGCTCCGCCTCCCGCACCTGCCCCCGGGCGGTGCCCACAGGGCTGCGAGGTGGAGCTTCAGCCAGCGGCGAGGTACCACTCCGACAAATTTATTAGCGTGCTGCTAAGACGAGGCTCAGCGTAAATCACGGGGCTGTATAGGGCCATAAAGCATCCCCCTGTATCCTGCCCCTCGCCGGGGTTCTGGTGAATAGGAGTTCATGGAAAGCCGGGTATCGGTAACATCTTTCAGATCTGGCGTGTGTGACGTTTTTAAAGTCTTAGATATACAATGGGATATACTAAAACTATTACATAGAATTTTTATAGGTATTTGGTACTTACATACAAAAGAAATTTTGGGGGAAATGGTTCCTAGGTAATATGCTCAGTTCTTCACAATACCTCTAATGGCTTTGCAAGTAATAAAATTATTGTTTTGGAGGGGAAAATAATAATATTCTAAAACTTAGTACATTATAAACGGATGTAAGGCAAATGAGATCTAAGGAATTAATTTCTCCCTGGTTCCAGAATGCAGATCCCACTATAAAGGCACACTGAACTCGAAATGTAATAATATAGAAACAAATCAGTGACAATACCTTGCATGGACACCAACTCAAAGAATTCTTTGAGCCACCTGAGCACCACCTTTGAATGTGGGTACACATTACAAACATAAACGAAACATTTATACATTCAAAAGAGAAAGGCTCCAGCTGAAGTGTTACCTGTTGTCCCCAGCCACACACTGCAGTATCCCTGATACTTCATGGGTAAGGAAAGGCAGCACCAGCCTCAGGTCTCACTGACTGTTGGGTATTACAGGATAGGGACAGAAGATGAGTTATCCTTTACCAGTTTCTCCAGCAGACTGTCCATGAACATGTTTTCCTAAACACTAACCATCCATGCCTTTATTTTTCAACTTCATTCTTGAACAAACACACTTTAACAATGCAAGCAACATCCAAATCTCACTTTGCTCTTGCAAAGTCCTTTTGCAGCCCTGTGCAAAGATACTCTCTTGACCAGTCCTCCTCAGAGGGAAACCAGGGGCTCCAGCAAGCTGGTCTGTCTTAGGTGAGGATCTAAACCCCTTTCCACTGGGTTTTGTTCTCATCCTACACACCTCAGAGGAATTCTTCCCTGTAAGCCCTTGACTAAGGGTGCTGTACAGCAAGAGTGGTCCCACTGAAATCATTGCTTAAGGATGTCAGTCCACCAGGACTTGCCCCAGGCAGTGGGAAAAGCCAAGCATGTCCTCTGCCTACAGATATTTGGTGAGTGTAGAAGACAAGCAGTGGGGACAATGTGCCTACTGCCTAAAGCAGAAGAGAAACAAAAGCTCCTGAGTTCTGTCTAATACGTCCTGCATGCTCCAGAGAAATGGAAGAGGTGACAGTAATTTTGCCAGAACAATGGGGGACTCCAGCAGTATTTGTGGAGTGCTTGGAGACCTTGGGTAAGCAAAGAAATGCAGATGGCTGCATCATAGAGCACAGCTCTGTGCGATGTGTCTGTGATGTGACCCGTGAGGGGGTGGCAGGGCTCGAGCTGGAGACGTGTTGCAACACAGTGAGTCCCTCCTCCCAGCCCCATGAGCACAGACCCGCCAACACCCACGGCTCCTTCACAGCCTGGGCAGAGATTCCACTGCCCCCAGTCCTCCAGCACAGCCCTGTAGCTTCCTTAGCAACTGAGCAAACCCAGTCCTTCGTTATCACAGCTACATGGAGGTGCGTGTCTCTTCTCTGTCTCTGGACTACATGTACTGATACGTGTGCATTGCAGCAAAAAGCAAAGGTCATTTTTCTCATCTAGTTGGCTGGAAGCAACGGGCAGCAAAAAATGTAGCTCCAACCGAAACAAAAGTTTTCCCAGTTCTTAATTGTGAGCCTTCCAACTCAATATGTTTTTTTTTTTATTTTGAAACTGAAGCTTTACAGCCAGTCTCTCTCCCTTGTGTAGGTATCACATGCTGTTGTATGGGATGCCTGGTCTGGCCATCTGAAAACTCCATGGCTCCAGGCCATCAGCCCAGCAGAGACCTGCTACAAGCAGAGAAAGAAGCCCTGGTGTCCTCCACAGAATCAAATACAATCCCACCAGGCTATGGAGGTGCCTGCACGGTTCTCATCAGCCTGTCACTGTAGGACTGGGCTGTTTTCACATTTGTGTCTGTCACTGTCCAGCTGCAGCCTCTGCTGACCCCACTGCCACCAACAGACCTGTCTCACAGGGCTCGTGCTGAGAGTGGGACGTGCAGGGACAGTCAGTGACTAAGCTTGCAGGGAGAGGTGAGGGAAGAAAGGAGAGGAGGGAGGGAGCCCACGTGTTGAACTTGCCTTAGAAGTCAAATTTCTTCGTCATGAGACACAGGACATTCTTTTCCCTTCAGATTTTATGTATGTTTGATTCCACTAAATTCATCTGAGTACTGCTCTGACACAGGAATTAAAAGCACTGAGAGTTTGCTGTAGCTATTGAGTCATGGGCGCAGACTGATCAAATCTACCGCTTGTTTTTCCTTCCTGTTACATGAAAGCAGAGTTCAATAAAGTTCAGATCAGAACTGAGACCTACTTTTGTGATGTCTTGACAAACCTTTCTTGAAATATTTAACATGTTAGCTGGAAAGAAAGAAGCACAAAGAAACCCTGTCAACTTGTTATTTATGTTTTTTAAATGAAATAGTGAAAGGAACAAGTAAGCAAGTGTGATTCCTTTCTTTAGATTGCAGTATCATAGATTAATAGCGCTATGAACAGATTTGCAAGTAGCACTATCATGCTAGTCAAGATATTAAAAAAGTTTATGAGCAGTTGCTTAGGAAAAACAAGATAAAGCCTATGGAAATCTGATACTGGTCAATGGTGCATTTATTCAAAACATAATACTCACTTCAAGTCCCCATAAATCCTTTGCAAATGAAACTTCCATTGTGATCACTGTTCCAGATCTAAATGATTTATTTTTTTCCTTTGGTAGACTTAAGATATATCTCAGAATGTACAAGTTATGTACCTACTGATACAGAGTTAATC